ATATGATAGAGGGAAACTGTGTGTTATACCACCTCCATTTAGCACAACAGTTAGTGGTGACTGGTGATACCACAATTCATGGGAATATGAAAATGAATGAAGGATATAATCATCCTTCGAGATAAGTGTCACCAATGATAGAGGCGCGTCTCAATAATATACCAGATTCCTTTCGAACCTGGGAAATGTTCCTTAGTGCGGCCTTGTTGGTGATGCTGCAATCATCTCGGTTGCTACCTCAATCACGCAGGTGGACTGAACAGCACTTTTGTGAACTGTATATAATTTTATGTTTTCAGTTTCCGATGTAGTCTAGCTGGTTAGGATTCGTGGCTTTCACCCACGCGACCAGGGTTCGAGTCCCTGCATCGGAAAGTGTATATGAGATAAGATATTTGTTGGGCTCACATTGAGCGCAATGATTGAAGACTGAGCAGGAGTGTTAGAGGAGCATCGTAGTTCGAGATGCACGACCTGTTATTGGTTCCCCTCCTCCCTTGGACAATGTTCGTCACCCATTCGTGGACCACTTCAACATTGTTCGAGGGGCGAGGGTGCTCAGCCCATCTTTCCGGAATGGAAAGAATTTGAATATTGTGAGGGGGACTAGCTCAAATGGTAGAGCGCTCGCTTAGCAAGCGAGAGGCACCGGGATCGATGCCCGGGTTCTCCATTTTCGCTCGTATGTTGACGCGGTTCTGATGCCGACAACTATCATCCTGCTGAGTGTGGGGTTTTGTATGTAGCATCCCAATAAGGTGGAAAGACAGCATCATGAACCCTTACGGACTTGTTCGGGAGGGAGTGGTACAATCGTAAATTTGTTGCGTGGTGACTGATTGGGCTGGTCACAATGCTTGTAGACGCACCATATGATAGAGGGAAACTGTGTGTTATACCACCTCCATTTAGCACAACAGTTAGTGGTGACTGGTGATACCACAATTCATGGGAATATGAAAATGAATGAAGGATATAATCATCCTTCGAGATAAGTGTCACCAATGA